TGCATCTGTAACTTTCACTCTATGCATCCGAAGAAGTGAGGTTTTTACTCACGAAAGCTTATGCCCAAATAAATCTGTTAAGAGTTTTTAGAAGGAACCTGCCCCCCTTGTGTGACAGGGTCTTAGCAGGGCCAAATTAATCATTTGTGGGCCCTGGCATGCTGACTGTGGCCCCGCCCCCTGCTCCACCCACGCTTTGCCGCAAGACCCCGCCCCTGCTCAGCCCCTTCCCCTTCAAGGCCCCGCCCACCGCTTGCACAGTTGTGAGAGGGCAGAGAAGTGTGAGCAGCAGGCGGGGCCTCAGTGGGGAGAGGCCAGGTGGGGGCAGGGCATTGGCACAAAGCGTACAGGGAATGCAGGGGGCAGGGCTACAGTCCGGGCACCGGGGCCCCTTCTAAGTGTGGGCCCAGTGCCATTGGTGCCATTGTAAATGAATTTGTTGGTCTCTGGGGTGCCACAAGGACTCCTCGCTGTTTTTGCTGATACAGACTAACACAGCTACCACTCTGGAACCTGAAAAAATTGGGTTTGTTTAGTCTGGAGAAGAGAAGACTGAGAGGGGACAGAACAGTTTTCAAGTACAAAAAAAATTGTTACAAGGAGGTGTGAGCAAAATTATTGTTCTTAACCTCTGAGGATAGGACAAGAATCAATGGCTTAAATTGCAGCAAGGGTGGTTTAGGTTGGGCATTAGGAAAAACTTCCTAACTGTCAGGGTGGTTAAGCACTGGAATAAATTGCCGAGGGAGGTTGTGGAATCTCCATCATTGGGGATTTTTAAGAGTAGGTCGGACAAACACCTGTCAGGGATGGTCTAGATAATGCTTAGTCCTGCCTTGAGTGCAGGGGACTGGACTAGATGACCTCTCAAGGTTCCTTCCAATTCTACGATTGAGTGAAACCCAGCACTGTCTCTTAGATGGTGTCAGAGCTGGTAACAACCATTCATTCTTCTGCTGAGACGGGCTGGAGCGGCTGTTGTTGTTACAGTCCGACCCGTTTCATCCCAGCTGGTGGTTGGGATTAGCTGGAGCCGGTAGAAGTGACATCATCTGGGTCCCTCTCTCTGGCCGCGTCTGGTCAGGACGTTTCAGGCTCAGGATGACACAGGTCTCGGGTCCCAGAAGATGTGGGGGAGGGGGGAGATATGATGGTGAAGTTCATTCCAGTAGTATATTTTTCTCTTTCAGGGTCCCAAAAGGGAGCAATGGGTGGAGCAGCCCATCGTTCCTGTGGCCACCAAGTAGGTTTAATCTCCAAGACTGGATTCACTCCTTTCTGGTTCCACACGTTTCTTGTTTGCCAGGCGTGATTCTGAACCCAGTCCTTGAGTTACAGCAGAAGGCTCTTTTGTTTGAACTAACTCCGTCTGTCTCCCATTTGGGACCTTTTCCCATCAACCCTGGTAACTTTCGGTCATTGTGCCATCTCAGGAACGCTCAAAAACTTATACAGCTGCATTCACAGTCAGGGTAAATTTGTCAGGCCAGTTATTACGACAAGGTCCAGCAGGAGATAAGGCTGAGCGTTATGAATGCACCGTCCGAGTTCCTCTTTCCAAAGGACTGTTCCTTTGAAAGTGACTGTAAAAAGCCTGCCCCTACACGGGTTTCCTCATCCCTGTGGGTATGAGCCAGAGCTGCTGGCCACAGGGACTAACCTAAGTCGTTCCTGCTTTTCCCTCCCATACGCCCAGCAGAGCCAACTAGAGCCTGGTCTGGTTCAGGCCTTATCAGAATTGTCACCCAAGTTCCTGTCGCAGGATCTTTGGGCCAGATCCCCAGCTGACGTCAATCAGGATCACGTTGATGACGGCTGCAGTGCACCAGCCACGGTGCTGGCCCATTCCTGGTGCTGGAAAGCACTAACCAAAGGAAATACATTCACTACCATAGATACTGACTCTGTGGGTGCCCTGGGGCTCTCAGGTCCCACCAGCCACCCACCCATCAGTTGTTTGGCCACACAGCCGCTGATCTGCTGTTCTGCAGCCAGCAGGAGGTGCTTGGTGGAGGGGACGGAGCAGGTGTGGGATGAGGCGGGGCAAGGGCAGGGTCTTGGGGGAAGGGGAGTGGGGGCGAGAAGAGGTGGGGCAAGGGTGGGGCCTTGGGGGAAGGGGTGGGGTGTAGGCGGGGCTGAAGGGGGACGGAGCACCCACCCGAAAAAATTAAAGTCAGCGCCTGTGGCACTACAGTCTAGTCCTGACTCTTCTCTCCCAGCGGACACTCCTGAGCTCTGCAGTCTGGTGGGAATCTTCCTCTGGCAAGATAGTTTCGTGTTCCCAGCCCACCGGGGGGTCTAACAACCCTGCTGGGTAACCACCTCTCTTATCTGCCGAACAGCTCTGCTTTCCGAGCCCTCTTCAAACCTCCCAACCGTTTGCTCCACATCGTCCCTTCTCTGTGCTGCTGCCCCAAGCCCTTCCTGCCCTAGCCGGGCAAAATTCACCCCTGTGTGGGAGCCAGGGCTAGGCCTTATCACTGCTCCAGCCCTGAGCTGGGGACTCCCACCCTTCCTTTCTTCCCGTCAGGCCCAAACTGCGCCGGCCCTCTGCCCAGGGGTCATTACACCCCAGGGATGGGTTGGGCCGAGGCCTCGTACCTGCTCCCTTGGGTCGTTGATCACCACCAGATCAGCATTCTGGGCTAAGCAGGAGTGTCTCGCTGCCTCCCAGGACTGGTTAGTCTGAGAGAAAAGGTAGCACCTCCCTTGGTCTTGGTCCCAGCCCGACTGGCACCGGGGAACGCCTGCAGGAGATAACACAGCTGTGAGCCCCTCCCCCCCACGCACCAACGAGGGGCTGATCCCGACCCACACGCCGATGAGGGTTCGTTCCCCATCCCCCGCGCCGACGAGGACCCGAACCCTAACCCCTCTCGTGCTGACTTACGGGCCAATCCTTCCCCCACACACCGACGAGGAGCGGTTCCCCCAACCTCATGTGCCAAAGAGGGACCAATCCCTCCCTCTCCCGGGTGGACATAGGGCCGATCCCCCTCCACGGGCCGACATGAGGCCAATCCCCCCACACACACACGTGCCGACAAGGGTCCAATGCCCCCCCACGCACCACCGATGAGTCAATCTCCCCCCCACGTGCCAACGCTCCTCCCCACATGCCGACGGGAGGCTGATCCCTCCCCACAACATGCCGACAAGGGGCTGATTCGACCCTCCCCACCAGCAGCAGCTCCAGGCACCAGCGCTCCAAGCGCGTGCCTGGGGCAGCAAGCCACGGGGGGTGCTCTGCCGGTCCCTGCGAGGGCAGCAATCATGCAGCCTTCAGCGGCATGCCTGTGGGAGTTCGCCCGTCCCGCGGCTTCAACGGCAGGCATGCCGCCGAATCCGCGGGACCGGGGAGCTCCCGCAGGCATGCCGCCGAATCCGCGGGACCGGGGCGCTCCCGCAGGCATGCCGCCGAAGGCAGCCTGCCTGCCGTGCTTGGGGCTGCAAAAAAGCTAGAGCCGCCTCTGCTCCCCACGTGCCGACGCGGGACCGATCCCTCCCCCACACACTCCGCTGAGAGGCCAATCCCTCCCACCCACATGCCGATGGAAGGCCGATCCGTCCCGTCACCCCCTCCATGCGCCAACGGAGGGACAATCCCTCCCCGCCATGTGCCTCTGAGGGGCCGATACCTCCCCCCCCAGGCACAGAGCACAGGCCAAACCACAGCAGGTGGGGGTGCTCCACAGGAAACCTAAGACACACGTGAAAGCAGAAGCTACAGGCAGAGACATGGGGCACAGGCGGCCCCTCCATCCATCCTCATGGGCTCTGCTCCCACAGGGCGAGTGGCAGGGCCCCATTCCCAGCCCCCAGCCCCTGCACTAATGGGAGATTCCGCAGCCCCCCACCCCACCTAAGGGGAGCCCCCCCACCCCAGCTAGAACGTGACACTGCATTTGGATTCTCCCCACTCTGCTCTTACTTGCTCTGCTCCCCTGGGTTGTGGGGCCAGGGTCTCCTGGCGTGGTGGGAGAAGGGGCGACCTGTGAAACTGAGCACGGCCTGTGTTAGTCTCAGGACCATTGATAGGATACACCCTCCCACCCCCACAGCATGCTGCTCACCCCACCTCCCTGCACCCCAGAGGGTGATGCTGCAGCACCCCAACCCTGCCTAATGCCTGATCCCCACCTCCCTGCACCCCTAAACCAGATCAAGACTTTTCAGAATCTTTCTCCCCTACCTCATCTGCAGGCTGAACCACCCCTGATCTCAACACCCCTAAATCTGAAAGAGACACTGCAGCATTCCCACCCCCCATCCCCACTGGCTGCTCATCCCCCTCCCTATGCCCCATGTGATGCTGTCCCAGTTCCCAGTGCGCACGGTGGGACATTAAGGAAAGGAAGACTAGGAACATTCAACAGGAGCCCAGAAAGCACCTCCCATTTACCCCTTCCCCCAGCCCTGACCTTGCCGGCCGAGTGCGGTGGGGCAGGAATCCCAGCGAGGGGCCCCCCAGGCCAACTGGGGCTCTCACCTCCTCCGTGCAGGGATGAGCAGGATTTGGGGAGGGGGGAATCTCAAACCCTCATAATAATGCTTCCCCCTTCTCATCAGTCGAGCACACAAAGCACTTTGCGAAGGGGGTCAGGCTCATAAGCTCCATTTTACAGATGGGGAAACTGAGGCACGGGGCATTAAAGTGACTTGCCCAAGGTCCCGCAGCTGGAATAGAACCTTAGTCCCGTACTTTCTCTACTAGTCCATGCTGTCTCAGAAGGTGCCTAGCACACACCAGACCAGCTCTGGCTGGGGTAGGGGGCCCAGGTCATGGTGGATACTCACGGTAGAGGAGGGAGAAGACGACCAGGATCATCAGGAGCAATTTGATGGCGATAATGATCAGGGTGGTGATCACCAGCTGCCGGTTCGTGAGGGGGCGATCTGGAAAGGGGGGAAATGGCTCTGATATTCTGTCCTGGCCACACGCTGGCTCTTATTCCACCACCACCACCACCGGCACTGAGTGGGACGCACTTTGGATCAAGCCTGACAATAATTAAAGGGGCAGGGATCTGTGTGTAGCATCTTTAGCTAAAAGAGCTTTTCTCCCCGCTGCGTCTCAGGCATTTGAATTTAATGTGCACCCGCAACAATGAAAAGCATGAAGCCAAAGGGCCAAGCTCTGCTCCCCTGCACACAGTATGACCCTGTCAGTCCTGCCAGCTCCCCAGTCACCCCAGTGGTTTCCAGGGATGGCAGGGTAAGTGAGACCCCCATTTCTGATCTGTTTTTGAAAAGAGGAAAAGCCAAACTGCTTTTTGAACTTTCTTCCAGCACCACGAAGGAGCAAAAAGGGAAGGAACCCGACTGCCACCCCCAGAGAATGAGCAACACACGGAGCAGCAGGTTCCTCATTAGCCAGCAAAGGAGCTGGCTTGTCTCACCGCAGGGAGGGGACAGACCCCAGCCCATGTTCCTGGGTCCTCCCAGTCCCACTAAGGTTCTCCAGGCAGGTTGGGCATCTGCTCTGCGTCCCCTCGGATCTCTCAGTTGTGCAGGCGTCTTCCTCTCTGGGGCCAAGGGTAGCAGGCTGGGTGGGTGGCCCGTGTGCTCTGCTGTTAGCTCCTTCTGGACTTCTTATACACACGGTGACTCAGGTGCTCCCGTGGTGCAGCCTGCGTGGACAATGTCAGAGCACCGCCCATCACCCTGCCTCCTGCGTCCGGCAGTGGTGACCCCGAGTGAGTCACAGCTTCAAAAAGGGAAGAGGTCCCTAGGTCCATCATCCCAGAGCAGCTCTGTTCTCCCCAGGCTAGTTTTAAAGATAACATAACCGGGCAGTTTGTCAGGAACAAACCCTGGACCTGAGGCAACGATACTCAGACCTCAGGGGTTCAGAAGCCAAATTAGCAATCAGCATTACCCAAGAGAGCCACAGTAGGGTGAATTCATTGTTTCATTTACTATAGGACTCTGTGATCATATTTAAACAGTACGTCCGTTTTATACATATATGTATTCTCACAGCACAGTGACTGACCAAGTATCACTGTTTTATTGACTACAATTGGTTAATTACATAGTAAAAGCATCCCGGTAAGTTAATAACTTAGATTGGTTAATAATTATGGAAGCAAGGTCTGAAGCAGCGTGTGATGAGCTGCACGGGGTGGGGAGGAGGTTTCAGGGCCAGACGGTCTTTACACAGATACACCTGCTCGGCCTGGGTATCCAGCAGACAGAGCTGCGTTGCCCACGTGATCCGTTTTGGCGGGTGCTGGGTTACAAATCACTTTAGAACTCAGGGGACTGAAATGTTGTTATCCTGATGGTGGGAGGAACGGGCAGCAGAACTGTGCTTAGCCGGCCCTGACTGACAGGGTCTCCCTCAGCCGAACTGAGCTCACTAAGCAGGGGGTTCGGATGCCAGAGCCCAGTGTGGAGGGAGAAGGGCCAGGCCGGGTCCTTGAATCTTGAGTCTAAGGTGCTAGTGAAAATGGATGAAATCTCTTTAAGACAGAGTCCAGCCTTGGAACTGGTAACGCTTGAGGATCTAAAAACTAATAAAGAAGCTACAGTCTGTGTTGATGCAAATTACCTGACTGAGTGCGGGGAGAAAGACTTGGCTGTAGCTGCTAACAAAAAGGACACACCCAGCCGGCCAAGGGATTCTGTTAAGCAAAAGAGCTCCGATTTTGACCCTCCGGAACAGGGAGAAAGGGGACACGTTTATCATGCAGATAAAAGTCACAGGTTTACCCTAAAATACCCAAACCCCAAGGAAGTGGTTAAACTGAAAGCCCATGTTAAGGAAGACCCTGAGGGAGAGGCAGATTTACAGAAAAACCCAGGCTGCCCTGGCACGGGGCCCTGCAATGACAGGGGCGCCTGGTGCTCCTGCTACAGGCTCCACACCCACCGGAAGCCAAGCTCCCCCCTCTCCCGCCTCTTCTCTGCCTCCTCCCCCGAGCGTGCCACGTTCCCACCCCTCCCAGCACTTCCCCACTATCGAACAGCTGTTGCCGGTGCTTAGGTCGCTCCAGGAGAGAGGGGGAGGAGTGGGGCAGGAGCGCGCAGGGGAAGGGTCAGAGAAGAGGTGGGGAGGGGCCTTGAGGAAGGGGGTGGAATCAGGGCAGGGCAGATCAAAGGCAGGGCCCCCACACTCTCCCTACACATACCCCCACAGCCTCCTGCCGTGAGCCGCTCAGGGCATGGGGCTGGAGTAGGGCAGGGGGCTGGGAGCACCCCCACAACCCCTGCCCTGACTCCTTCACCCGCTCACACACCTGCTCTCCCTGACTCCTGCACCCCCGCCACATCCCCACCTGCACCCGTCGCACAAAACAGGAGCTGCCCTGGGTAAGCGCTCCATACCCCAACCCCTTCCGAGACATTAGACAGACATTTAGAAACTTCACTCACAGACAGACAGCTATTTGCCACCTTCCCCAGGTTAGAGTCACCCCCTCCCTGGACATAACAAAACTAGTTAAACACAGACAACTGCTCAGAGTAATACAACATACCAACATTGTTATAAACTGGACTTTCAAGATGATAAAGTTTCTGCTGTTCTTCCATTGCTTTTTTGACTTGGAGCTTAAGTCTGGCAGTTTCTTGTTGCATCTGGTGCACTCAAGGCCGGTGCAACCACTAGGCGAACTAGGCAGTCGCCTAGGGCTGCAAGTGGTTGGGAGCGCCCAGGGCCATCCTCAGGCATAGGCAACTGGGTAGGGCACCTGAAAATTTGGGGCACCACTGGGTCTTAGTGTCCACCCAACTGGTTTTCCTATCCCTGTTCTGACCCTTCCTGCAGACTCCGAATCTTCCTGGGAAGGGGATCTACTAGTTAAAAGAGAAAGTCTCCAGCTGCCAGACTTATTAGCACAACACTGAAACTGTTAAAGAGCCATTCAAGGGGTAATGAAGCCATTTAACAGGCATTTGCCAACCCCCAGGTATATACTGTCAGTTTCTGAATGTACTGACAAAAACAGCTGTGCATGACTGTAATATTTACTCAGAACATGTCAGTCTACAGGACCTTAGTTTAAAATTTGCTGAAAAAATATTTCATTAGTGAGTTGGTGAAGATTATAAAATCACATCTCTAAAAAATCCTTGCATAGATTTTTAGATGCACAATCATCTTTAGCCTTAAATGCTTGGATCTTCAGACATAAATTATTCAAAAGACCCCCCTTATCTAAAATAAACATTTTAATTACTATAGTAAAAAACCTTACTTCCAAAGTCTTCCTGTCCTTTCTGTCCATCCATTTCTCCCTTCACCTTCCCTCCCTCTCCCCCCATTGAAAGAAGCAAAAGCCCTTTGCTTCCAGATAGCTGGACAAAGAGTTTCCCTTTCTTTACTTCTGACTATCTGATGAACTAGTTTTAAGCAAATTCAGTACTTTAGTTAGGGTTATTTCAATACTGCAAAAAGAG